CCTGCTGGCATGTCAAGCATCGTGCTGTAAACTCTGTGATCTCTCTCTTCATCGCAGGCCACCAGTAATGCTTCCGGAGATCCTGGAACATCTTGTTACTACCGGGGTGCATGCTATATACCGTACCATGTGCTTCACGGAGGAGACGTTCCCTTACCTCCCCCACTGGCACTACCACACGTGCCCGATACAACAAGACACCATCCTCACGGACAGAGAAGTCAGGTTTCTCGCCCCGAGAGGCGAGCTCACAGGTCTGCCTGCAGAAATCGTCGCTGCTCTGCGCCGTCACGATCTCATGCAACAATGTAGGCTGAACTCGGAGTACGGCTAGAGTTTTGCGACTAAGAGCATCAGCCACCACATTCGCCTTACCAGTGTGATAAGCGATATGACAGTCGTAGTCCTTAATCAACTCCAACCATCTCCGCTATCGTAGATTCAAATCCTTCTGACTCAAGAGATACTGCAGACTTTTATGATCGGTGAAGATACGCGTCGTCTCGCCGTACAGATAATGTCTCCAAATCTTGAGAGCGAGAACGATCGCCGCCAACTCCAAATCGTGTGTTGGGTAGTTGCACTCGTGCGGCTTCAACTGCCGAGACGCATCAGCTACAACCTTACCCTCGTGCATAAGAACACACCCTAGGCCATTGTGTGAAGCGTCGCTGTATACCGTATACTCCACTCCTGGGGTCGGCTGAACCAATACGGGTGCCTGGGTCAAACACTCCTTCAGTTTCTGGAAGCTCTGCTCATAAGCCTCGGTCCAATCAAACTTCACGTCCTTCTTCATTAACTTGTGCAAAGGTGAAGCTATCCTCGAGAAGTCTTTCACGAATCGGCGGTAGTATCCTGCCAACCCGAGGAAACTCCTCACCTCTCGAGCATTGCGTGGAATCTTCCACTCCGTGACCGCCGAGATCTTACACGGGTCCACCTTCACTCCTTCAGCCGAGATGACGTGGCCGAGGAAGGTGACCTCGTGCAACCAAAACTCACACTTGGACAGCTTGGCATAAAGTTTCTGCTCTCGTAGGATGCCGAGTACCGTGCGCAGGTGCTCCGCGTGCTCCTCACGCGTCTTTGAGTACACCAGGATATCATCGATGAAAACAACCACGAACTGATCAAGATACTTACGAAACACACTGTTCATCAGATCCATGAAGACAGCCGGTGCGTTGGTCAATCCAAAAGGCATCACCGTGAACTCGTAGTGACCATAACGTGTGCGGAACGCTGTCTTAGGAATATCCTCCTTCTTGACCGGGATCTAATGGTACCCTGATCGCAGATCAATCTTAGAGAAGACTGTGGCTCCTCTCAACTGATCGAACAAGTCATCAATGTGAGGAAGAGGATAACGATTCTTGATGGTGACTTTGTTCAGCTGATGGTAACCGATGCACAGTCTCATCGAACCGTCCTTCTTGCGGACGAACAGGACTTGTGCGCCCCAAGGGGACACACTGGGACGTATGAAACCTTTATCCAAGAGCTCCTGCAGTTGAGCTTTCAGCTCCTTCATCTCTGCCGGGGCCATGTGATAAGGTGTGATGGAGATGGGTCCCGTACCTGGAACCAAATCGATGGAGAACTCTACCTCCCTCGGGGGTGGTAATTCGGGCAGCTCGTCTGGAAATACGTCTGGAAACTCGCACACCGTAGGGATTTCCTCCCGTCCGAGTGCCTCTAGCTGCGTGTCGCGGACGGTGCAAAGAAAGGCCTCGCATTTCTTGCGTATGAGGCGACGAGCTTGCATATATGAGATAAA